AATTTTTTTTCAAGAGCTTTAAAAGAAAAATGATTCGACCCTCCTGCTGTAACCTCCTCCCCCCTCCCTCTCTTCCAATCTTGAAGTGTAGCTGAATTGTGTAGATTACCAGCTTTTTCACTTCCCACTGTACCACACATTGACTTGGCTGTTTGTTGTAAATAATCGGTGTGTAAACACTTACCAAAAAAAAAAAAAAAAGTTTGCTACTGTGATTGAAGGCAAGGCTTCCTTTTCTTTTTTATTATCAGTTTCTGAATGTCAAAGCAGCAGCTTTTATTGCCAGGGCTAATGTTGTGTGTGTTGGGTTCTCAGGTTGAGTCTGTGTTTGAAAAGAACTCCAGTGCAGATGATTCAGGAGAGAAATCAACTTGGTCCAGTAAGTTAATTAAATTTTTGGCTTGGTTGTTTGTTTTTTTTTTGCTTTGTTTTTTCCCTATACATTGAGGGCTTGTAAATATCATTGTGATTATGGTCCAGTAAGTTAATTTTATTTTTAGCTTGATTATTTTGTTTTATTTTTCCTTACATTGTAGATTTTGAAATATAATTGTAATTACACTTGTTTGGAATATATTTTTTAAGTTCAGATAAAGACTTGAATTCACATCTTTCTGCGTTAGACTTGCAATAATAATTTTTTTTTGACGCTGAATTTGTTTAAAGTTCTCAATTTTCTTAATAGTACTGGATTTGCCATTGCAAGAGCATGTGTCCCCCTTTTTGTAATGGTAACACTGGTAACTTTAGTGTAATTTGTGTTTAACTCTTTGCGGACATAGTTTTTTGGGGGTCTAGATGTAATTAATTTCTGTCTCAATTTGGGTAAACTGGTGATTTGCAAAATAACTGCAAATAAGCATAGCTATCTCTCAAAAAGTAACATATGATATATCAAATTGAAGGAAATTGAATGAGGAAAACATTCACACCTGAAACAAGGATAAATTTTGAACTTAAGCATGCATAACAAGGTTTAGAATGTGTGATGGTGATGAGAAAAATAAATTTTGACGCGAGAAAGATACTCACCAAACGTGTGAAAGCAAATCAGCTTACCTATATAATCAGACACAGCCATGAGCATAATCCGCACTTTTCTGAATGCTCTACTTTTTATTTGAAAGCAATATTCCATTTTTTTTTGGAGATTTGATAAGTTTACTGAGTCCGGTTACATCGTTATGTTGATGCAAAACTGCAATAATGAATTCCTTCATATATTATCACTGAACTGACGCTTTGACAAAGTGAAACAAAGAGGACTTCATTGCGTCTACGTTTCCTAAATCCTTGCCAAGTTTTCTAGTGGCAGTAATATGTCTTTATAACTGATTGATCATGTTAAAATGAAACAAAACTGAAGCACCCCTTCATGCTGATAGCTGATATATCTTGATACGTCTGCAAAAGGTGCGAACCCCCCGGGGCGGTGCTACTGACTGAAGTGTCCCAAAGGGGGACATTAATATGTTCTTTTGCACAGTAGAATTGTAAATTGTAAATGGGCTAATTCATCAATGTCATGCTCATAACTGGTGCCTGAACTGCAACAGGGAACTGCTGCCTTTTCTTTCCTAATCCTTACTATCGTCATTTTTCCTCTACTTCTTTTATATGTTTGTCACACTTTTGTGACCCGCTATTACCAGGGTGCCTTGATAGTCGAAGCAGACTTTGTGCTGTTGAACCTAGAGAGGTGAGCAGAGTAAGTCTGATTCCCTTTAAGGACTTCTTTGTTGACATCCACCCCTTGGCGCTCATATGATCTTATGCTGTTGCGAGCGTCGTAATACCTCTACTAAAAAATGGGTTGCGGACTTTTGCCGGTATATCGGTGATACGTCTGAAAAGAGTTAAGAAATGTGTGATATATGTGGCTGTCATAGTAAATGTGTGTGTGTTTGTGTTTATTCTAGAGCTGGGCAGCGCTATTGGTGGTCTGTTTGGAGGGTCCAGCCCAGAGGATGACCACAAGGTGGAGGACACGCCGGACACGCCAGAGGTAGGTCTCTCAACACTTCCCGTCATGCCCTGTACCATCGGCTGACCAATAGGCAAGCGGGATGCTCTTTGCAGTGTCATTTAAAGAAAGAATTAAAACTAGCAGGACGTTCACCGCAATATTTGAATTGAAACCCACAAAAGAGTGACACGGATGGTGGAGGTTTGGACTGTTTGTCATTACATGACAGTTTTCCTTCCGCAGAAGTGCTGATTTTTCCGGTTCCGGTTAAATCTGGAAATCTGGATTTCTGAAAATTTCGGGAGGGATTTTGCATGACTTTATAAATACTGGATGTATTAGACAATATAGTTTCTTTTGTGTTTCAGCTTGTGTATTTCTACGGACGGGAAAAGGTTTTAAAAAAACCCACTTGAATCCAGATGGCCCCACCACTGTCTAGGGCTGTACAGCAGCACATTTTGCAACTGTGAACACTAAGTGTATAGTGGAGTCTGCTTTAACTCGTCTACAAGACTGTTGAATTTTCTTGTTTAGCTGTGTTTTCGGATTAGATTAGAGAGACTGCTCAATACATTAAGCCAAAAAAAAAAAGGGGGGGGGGGGGGGGGTGGAATGGGGATTCTATTTTTTAGGGGGGGGTATTCAGATTAATGGTGTTCCATTTAATAAGAGGACTTCATTGCGTTTTGAACCCCCGTCTGGTCATGACCATGAAATATAAATGTGTCACAACGCGGTGGAATTTGGCGCTCGTCTATTTTTGGGTATGTACTAGAGTTATTGGTTCCATTGTAAAGCTTGGTTTTTTGTCTTGCTTTTGATTTGAAAAAGAAATGCCCATCCATCTCAAATAGGAGTCAAGATATTTGCAATTGAAGGAGGTAGGGATTGCCTGGTTTCAGAGGTTTAATTAACGTGAAAATGACCACCAAAGGTTGGTGACTTGAGAGTCCTTGGAAGTTGAAGGTTTATATTTTTTGTCCCTTAAATGTTTGATTTCGTGATTTTGACAAGCGCCTGATTTCACCGAGATGCCTCACAAATGTGGTTTTCTAATCTGGATAACAGAGAGATAGGGGAAACATTGATCTTGCTTGATGGATTATGAAGGTTCTGGAAGTTAAAGTGTGGTCATCTGGAACTCGAAGTATGAGGGGATGTCTCCTTTTTTTGTTTTGTCCTCAAACCTTTATGCACTAACCTTAATGCAATATCATTCGGGTTCACTTCAAACTCTTGTTTTTATGTGAATGTTCTAGTGAATGTAGTTGTATGATTTGTGTGTCACGTTTCTCACCCCCCCTCACACATACACAAAAATTCTAGATGCTGGGATTGCCATCATGACCGGTTAGAAGAACATGTCCCTGGCAGTATTGCAAACAGGCGTAAGTCATTTTTGGCGGCCTTTGAAATTCGTCCGTATGCAATACTGCCCGCGATGTGTTATATCTATGTATGTATGTGAACCGGTGATTCCTGTATATATATTAACATACAGCATGGAAGAATGCTGGGTGGTAGAAGGGGGCATGGAACTGGGAGAAGAATCGCATAGAAAAAAGATGTACAGAAAAATGGAAGGGCATGGAATAACAAACCTGCCACTCATCTTGATTTGATCGGTATATCCTGATTTAATATCCCCCCCCCCCCATCTCAAGCGTTCAGATTTTTCCGATTGCTGTGGCTTTCATCTTGGATTTTTTAGAGAAGCCTGGTCATTAGTTGTCTTGCTTTTGATTTTAAAAAAAAATAACCCTTCTATCTCAAAGAGGAGTCAAGATATTTGCAAATGAAGGAGGTGGGGATTGCCTGGTTTCAGAGGTTTAATTTGGTATGTTTGCTATATGCATGCTAGAATGTACTTCTTTCATCTGTGATTGCAATCAGGGACCGCCATCAGACTGTTATTGTTCTCTCTATGAAGCTTTAAAAAAAATAATGAAAAGTGCTGACAATGCAGTGAAAATCACAAAGTAGATAAAACTTGCTTGATGGATTATGAAGGTCCCATTCAGGAAGTTTGTACTCGAAGTATGAGGGGTTGTCTCTTACAGTCATGCTTGTGGTTCCAGCATATTTTCCCCCTGTTTTTCATGAACATTATGAATGTTTCTGTCGTTTAGTTTAGATTTGCATGGCCATATAACCCCAACTACTTAATCTCCTTTATGTTTTCGTTTTGTATGCATACCCCTTGATTACCATTAACATTGCACTTTTACAATTGTTCATGTTGTGTTGATGGAACATTACAGTACCCTGATGCCGTTGTAGAGGTGATGTTTATTAAGCATATCAGTTTGTACCTATCATTTATTGAAGTATAGCCCTTTCACATAATTTGTACTCAGGTTTGGATAGTCTGGTGGTGTTTTTATTGTGTTTCTTATTTTTTCATTTACATTCATGAATATTTAGATTATGTTTGATTAGAGGGGTATTTTTAGAACTTCTTTTGTTAATTTCTTTTTTTCTTCTTTGGGAATGAAGCCATGAAAGTTATTGTTGCGATTTAAATAAGCCTTGGAATTATTTTCCTGAGTATGCCTACATGTTCTCTGCTCCACCATTTTGGTAAATGTGGTCTTGTGGAAGTCCCACTGATTCTCAACAAATGGTTTTGTAATTCCCAGTGGGAAACAGTGTATTTGTCAGCCAATGAAGACGGTGACACCATGAAGGTATTCTCTTAGCTCGCTGAGGCTACTGTTTGGTAGTTCTGTCTGTTCTTTTTTTAACATTGTTTTCTGCCTTTCCCGCCTCAGCGTTGAAGCTTCTCTTTGAGCTGATCTTTCTTTTGTGACTTTTGTGCACTTTTCATTCTCCGCAAATTCAGAATTTTTTTTCATCATTGTTTTCTGTCTTTTCTGCCACAACGTTTAAGCTTCACTTTGAGCTGTTCTTTGTTTTGTGACTTTAGCACATGTTTTATTCTCAGCAGTGACATTTCCACTCCTCTATTTATCTATATTGTTTGAATACAAGATGCAGAACCGAAAGCTGTGACTGCCACAGTTAAGTAGTTTTAACTGTAATGTTGTGGTTATTGTGCTGGCTTGCTGTTATATACTACTCTACAGGGAATGGATTGGTCCATTTGCGGGGATGTCATTAGAGAAGCCTGTTTATATGAGAATCTAAACATAATAAAAAATAAAAGTTTCAGGGGAAATTAAATGTCTTTCGGGGACTTCTATAATGATAATAAAAGACGGAAGTCTGGCTTGGGAAGGCTTGGAAATGGTAGTTTTACTTCCTCTTCATCTCTCCACTCAATGCCGGGTTATCAGTTGTAGCTTTTTTCTTCTCCCCATTTGCCTTTTAGAATGCAGTCTCCCACTCCTCTGAGGATGCCATCTGCCTTTTTCAAATATGTTTTTTCCTACACTGACTGGTTTCTTCAGTTTCAATTAGGGATGAGAATTTCTACCTTCGCCTCACTATTAGTGTGGGCCTTTCATGTTCCAATTTATTTTGCTGAAGCTTTGCTGTAACAGTTTATTTCTGTGATGTGTTTCATTTTTTCTGCCGAGGCGAGAGTGCAGGGCACTGGCTTGTTGCATTCAAGGTCATGGCTTTGCTAGAAATTTTAAGAATATTGTGAAGGTGGAGCGTTTCAGTCTTACCGTTTTAAGGTTGTGTGAGGAGCTTTCAAGGCTTCGTGGTGGTGTGGCTTGGTCCTGCCTTGAGGGGATTGAAAGTTTGTCAGATTGGGATACCGGATCCCCGCCTCTTGTTTGACCGTACCGTTTTGAAGTGGGTATCTATCTATCCTACCCCCTCAACGTTGAACGGCAACAGAGCACAACCTCAGTGCTTTCTTGTCCTATCTCAATTTTTAATGACAGTGAAAACAGTTCATAACACAGAGTGAGCTTAAGAAGAAGTCACATGTTCAATGTTTAAAAAAAAAATGGAGACGGAACAAGAAAGCTCTGAGGTCGTGAGAGGATGAATAAGTAAAAAGTAAAAGTATCTATCATACGTCATGCGTTGCAATAAATCGGACTTGCTGTTTCTATGTTGTTTAATGTAAAATAGTGAAGTGGTCCTGTGGTCTCCAAGTCTCTTCTTCATCTTATTCTAGTGCTACAGTTTCTTGGATCTGCATTCTTGATTTTGCTGCTTCAATACTATGACCTGAATGTGTTGGAGTATGGATCTAGCTCATGCCACACATTGTCGTGAATCAGATTTGCTGCTTCCGTATTGTGCAATGTATTTCAGTGAACTGCACTGGTGGTCCCCATGTCTCTTCTTTGTCTGATTCTAGTGCTACAGTTTCCTGTCTTTTGTTGTGACTATGTTGGCTGTCCTCATAATTATCTCTTTCAGTTTTGTTTGTTGGATCTCATCTGTCTCTATTATTGCTTGTGTGGTTCTTTTGCTTTTTTCCCCTATTGTTTAGTGCAAGCTCTGGCTGTTTCTTTTTCTTGATTCTGATGTCCTTATTTGGTCCTTGTGCTGTTTGTTTGTCCGTGTTCTCTCACTCACCGTGATATGTCACTCCAACAAACAATTTGGTGCAGGTGGTTGGAGGGCACCACTGGTAGGTCCTACTTCTCTACTTTCCCTCTGTTGTTCCTGTCTGTCTGTCTTACCTTTTCCCAGCACTAAATGACCATTAATGTGTCAATGTGCTCCTCTTCGTTCAAACAAACATTTTGGCCTTAGGTTGCATACTGGTGTGATCTGTTCCTTTCGCTTTTTTTCTATAATTTTAGTCTGTCCATTGGGAATGTGCTGACTCTGTAGAAAGTAGGACTCAGCATGGTATAGTGTTCGTTTAGTGCCGAAACTAGCAGAAAAGTACCTACTCAACCTTCTTGAGAAACTTATAATGAGGTTGTAGAAAAGGATTTACAGATATGCTTGATGTTTGAACTGGTTTTTCTTTTTTTTTTTCATCCTTCCCTCCAAAGTTCAGTTCAGTTTCAATTTGGTAAGAATTGCGTTTTACAGAGCTCACAAGCTCCTAAGGTCATGACAAATGAGCGAGTGGGACCCAAGTCTTTCAATTTTTTTGTTATTTTCTAGCACAATTTGGTTGGCTTTTCTTTCAAATGTCGGAATAGTTGAAGTATCTAAAAATACTACGTAGTAGAAATTATGTTTTAAAATCCTCAGGTTTTTTGGTTGTTTTTTTACCTTCTGCATTTTCATTTAATATTGATTTTTCCTCAATTTCTTGATTTGTATGTTGTTGATTTTTTTTTTGTTGGGTTTTGGTTGTTTTTGTTGTTGTTGTTGTTGTTTTTTTTTTTTTTGTGGGTTGTTTTGAGCAGATTTGAACTTCAATAGGTGTTGGATTTTTTTCTTGTTTTCTTATTGCTATTGCTGATGTTGTTGTTGCATGTAGCCGGCCGGTGAAGCGGACGATAAGGAGAGTGCAGGAGATGCTGGCTCAGAAGGGCAGGATAAGGGAGAGCAGACCGGGGCTAAGGAAGAGGAGAAGAAGGATGCAAAGGTGCATGGTCACTGTCTGTCTGTGTGTGTGTGTGTGTGTGTGTGTTTGTATGTACGTTTTGTTGTGTGGGTGTGTGTGTGTGTGTTTGTATGTACGTTTTGTTGTGTGTGTGTGTGTGTGTGTGTGTGTGTGTGTTTTGTCATTTGTGTGTGTGTGTTTGTGGGTGCATGTTTATTTGTTTATGTCAAAAATACATGATATTTTCATGTGTGTTTGTGAGAGAGAGTGACCATTCTTTACTTGTGCGTGTGAGTTGATATAGATGTGTGCTTGCTTATCGTCTATTGTGTGTTTATGTCCATGTGAGTGCTGATTTTGTGGGGGCTGGCTTTTTATTTTTCTCTGTATGTATGTATTAATGTGTTTGTGTTTTTGTGTGTGTGTGTGTGTGTGTGTTGTTTTTTTTTTTTATAGTAGAGGGTTTTACGGCGCTCGCAACTGCATAAGGTCATGTGAGCGCCAAGGGGTGGATGTCAACAGAGAAGTGTTTACAAGGAATCAGACTTAGACTGCTCACCTCTCTAGCTTCAACAGCACAAGGTCTGCTTTGACTATCAAGGCACCCCAAAATAGCAGGTCACAAGAGAGTGACAAACATACAAAAGAAGTAGAGGAAAATGACAATAGTAAGGATCAGGAAAGAAAAAGCAGCACTTCCCTGTTGTAGATCAGGCACAATTATGAGCATGACATGAGTCAGCCCCTTTGCAATTCTACTGTACTTAAACAAGAAATGTCCCCCTTTGGGATTGGCCTTAAGACACTACAGTCAGTGGCACTACCCCAGTGTGTGTGTGTGTGTGTGTGTGTGTGTGTGTGTGTGTGTGTGTGTGTATGTATATATATGTGTGGGTGTGTGTATGTATAAATATGTGTATGGATATGTGTGTGGGGATATGGGTGCAGGTGGGTGGTTGGTGGGTGCTCTGGTGGGGTTTGCTCCTTCTTTCCAATAAAACTACTATCGTCTTTATCTCTCCTCCTTCTTTTTTATGTTTGTTACTCTCTTGTAACACCTCTATCTAATCTTTTGTATGTATATGACCTTATTGCGTTGCAAGTGCTGTAAAACTCTCACTAAAACTAAAACTAAAGCATAAGTGCATGTACGTGTGTGTGTGTGTGTGTGTGTGTGCGCACGCGCATGCGTGCGTGCGTGCGTGCGTGCGTGCGTGCGTGCGTGCGTGCACATGGGACCGACTGTGTATGTATATCTGTTTTCTCGTACGAAAGCTGGTCCTTTTGTTCCTGTGTACTCCGGGGAGCCTCGCCATATTATGTTTGTACATGTTTATATGTAAATTATGTGTGCGTGCATAAATGTGTAAGTGTTTGTGATTGGTGTATCTGTCTTTGTGCTTTGGGAAACCTTAGCCCACTTGCGTCCTTAGAATGACCTGGTTCTAACTGAATGACACAGTTTTGAGAAAATAGAATTAAAAAAATTCACACTCTTAGTTGTTAAAATGTTTTACATGTTATTTGTTAAGCATTAAATGGGAAACTCAAAAATACAAGTCAGATTTTTTGGAGCCTTTGGTACAATGTGCAGGGCGTCTGTGTCAGTAATGTGTAGTGTGTAACTAAATTTTTTGCAAAAAAATGCCTTCCTAATGGCGCGAAGTAGTAAAAAAGTGAAATGCGCACTGCTCTCCTGGTCTTATCTCTCGCTCGATTTAAATTTTTACTCATAGAAGCATGAATTAAGAATTTTATTTTTTATTATTATTTTTATTCCTTTTCTTATTTTAGAATTTCCTGAAATGTTTTCGTTTAGTCCAACTCTTTTCCAACTTTGGATGCAGCATTGTTTTTTTAGTTCCTTCGGTGTCCTTGCTTCAACTTTTTGGTATCTGTAGATGTTGGTTTGCTAGCTAGAATTTAGCGCTTGTCGACCATTTCAGTATATGCATGTCAGTGGAATCTTTACAAGCTGAATAAATCGGAGAAATAATTTGGTGGGGTATTTGGGAATAAAAAAGCTAGGTTTCAAGAGAGATGCCTGGTTGGTTGGAGGGCCCCACTGGTAGGTCCCACTTCTTTATTTTCCCTCTACTGTTTCTGTCTATCTGTCTTACTTTTCCCCAGCACTACGATTATTGTGTTGATGTGCTTCTCTCTACTCAAACAAACAAACAAACAAACAAACTTACAAACAAACGAGAGAGATGCTAATACAACAAAACAAACAAACAAACAAGAGAGATGCTAATACAACAAAACAAACAAACAAGAGAGATGCTAATACAACAATAAATGAAGTTGAGGAATAGTTGCGTGCTAGGTGACACTGTCTGGAGAAATGAGCTCAGATTTATCATTTTCTTGAGCAGATTATAGATGACAGTTCTGAGTGGGTGGTTGGTGGGTGCTCTGTTGTGGTTTGCTCCTTCTTTCCTATCTTACATCTTCTATCATTTTTATGTTTCCTCCTTTTTTTTGTTTTTTACTCTCTTGTAACACATATAATCTTCGGCACTTATTTGACCATTATTGTGCAGCAAGTGCTATAAAACTCTTACTAAAACTTAAAAAGAATTCGGAGGGTTCATCCTTGTCGGTTCATGGGAGACAATTTTGCCGGAATTTTGACATGTTGTATCTGTCTCGAGAGACACCTTCTATACCTTTTCTTGTCAAGTGTTCTTGTAGTTTTAAGGCTAACAGTTAAACAGTTTGCCGTTTTTTGGGTGCACTTTTGCAATCCCTTTTTCCTGCACACGCACAAGTTATTTTTGACTAATTTTTGTTTTTTATTGCACTTGTTTTTACCATTTTTGTTTGTTCAGACTGAGATTGGTACGAAGTTGAAGGATGCTTTTTAACTTAAAAGCAATCGTTGCAACTCTTGTCAGTGAAACAGCCTTTTCTCTCTCTTTCTTCTTTCTTTGTTTTTTGTTTTTGTTCTCTTTTTACAGATTGTTTCATGAACATGAATTTCTGGTAAAATGTCATCTTGATACCATACTGCAGACTAGTACACTTCTTTTTCTTTAATATAATTTTTTTTTTTTCTTTGCTGTCACAATGGGGGGAGATGTGCCTGCTTTCAATTGAACAAAAGATAAGAATAGACACCTCAAAGGGAGGTGGAGGAAATGCCCCTTCGCCCAACTGTGTCTGCTCTTAGTTTTGCATTTATGATAAGTCTACTACTCTTTTTCTGCCGTCTTTTCTTTCTGTTTTTTCTTACTTTACAAATAAATGTGCGACTTTGGAATGGAACCATGTCAACGTCATTTTAATGTTGATGGTCCAGTGTAGCGTAGGAGTTAGCAAACAGGCCCCAATAACCTCTTGGCAAGAATATAAAGCACATGGACGTTTATGTTCAGAGGATCGTGTGATATTTTGTGACATATGTGGTCTGTCAGCTTTCCTGTTCTTTTTCTCTTTTGTAGGTCCTCAGGTATAAAAGAAAAGAAGGGGGGGGTTGCTAGTGGTGAGCCTTACTTCTTTTCTTTCACTCTGTTGTTTCTGTCGGTCGGTCTTACTCTTCCCCTGTGTGTTAGGACAGTTATTATGATGATGTGCTTCTCTTTACAAAAAAAAAAAAAAGAAGAAAATCAAAGAATGACTGTCACTTATAATAAAATCAGAACTGCTCTGATGAAATGCCCTTAAATTTTCTGGACGCAATGGTATCAACGTTAGTGGGGCTAGTTAGACATGAAATTGTAGCAGATTGTATTTCAAACCCTTTCCAGATTATTTAGGAAATTAACCCCAAAAAAAAAGGTTTTTCACCTCGTTTTATTGGAGATAGTTGTTATTCATAATTCTTTGGAGTCGAGTGGGTGGGTAGGGGACTGGTGGAGGCTCTGACGTGGTTTGCTCCTTCTTACCTGTCAAACATCTACTATCGTCCTTATCTGTCCCCTTTCTTTTTTTTTGTGTGTGTTTGCTACCCTCTAATCTTTGGCATTTATTTGACCTAATGGTGTTGCAAGTGCTGTAAAACTTTCTTAGAAAAGAGAAAAAAGTGGGTGAGAGGGTGTCACTGATGGGTTCTGCGTCTGTAATATCCCTCTATTTGTCTTGTCTTCTTCCAACAGTTATCAAACACTGTGGTCTCTATGTGTTTCTTTTCAGCTTGGATGTTAAGAGGTCAGTGGCGTCAGTGGCCTTGTGGTTAGGCTTCCAGACTTTGAATCATGAGATTGGGAGTTCGGGGGTTTGAGCTGAGTTGTGTCCCTGGGAAAGTCACTTTACTCGAATTTCCCTTTGGCTAGGTCCTTTCGGAGAGGGACATTAAACTCGGAGGTCCTGCCTCTTTAAATAGCCGAAGTGTTGATAAGGTTGTTTAACCTAGACCATTTCATCATTTTTAAAAATTGTGTCAATGGATGCCTAAAATTCAGTAGTCATATCTCCCTTGCAGCTCTGTGTAACTTGGAACTCAATTTTCATTTTCTTGTGAATTTCAGGAGGAACAGGGAGAAGGTGAGAGTGATGGGGAGCAGAAAGACGACAAAGAGAAACCTGCGAAAGAGGAGGAAGCACCGAAGGAGGGAGGAGAGGAGACTGGGGAGAAAGCGGAGAAGTCAGGAGAGGGAGAAAAGGCTGGGGAGGAAGGAGCTAAGGAGTCTGACAAGAAAGAGAAATCTGAAAAGAAGGTATTGTATATTTTCTTCCTTTAACATTCTCGCTCTCTCTTTCTCTCTCCGACTGTTTTTCTCTCTATCTTTGCCCTGTTACTTGTCCTAGTGCTCACCTATGAAAGCAGTTAGTTGAGAGGTACTAGTGTGAGGTCCTTCTGTTTTTGCACCTCTAATCTTATTCACTTATAAATATGACCTATTTGTGTTGCAAGTGCTATGAAACTTTTACAAAATACCCCCACCAAAATCAAAACTCGAGCTATCCTCTGTTTTCAGGCCAACAGCTCTGAGAAAGGCTCCGAAGGTGAGGCTAAGGAGACGGAGGAGAAAAAGCCGCCCAAGGTGGTGAGCATCAAAGAGGAGATCAAGGCCGAAGTAGAGGCTCTGGACCTCAAGGACATTTCCACTGACCAGCTCAAAGCTGCCAAGAAAAGGTGACAGAAACAAACGGCGATGAGATTTGTGTTCTGGGGTGGGGGATTCTGTGGATGTTTCATCAGTCAGAGTCAGGGTTTAAAGAATTATTCAAACTAGACTGCCATAAGCTGACAAAACGCCTTTTTTCATTTTTGGCGCCAGTGTTTTTATTTGCTAAATCGAAAGCTTTTTATTGTATAGAGATGATTGTCTAGGACAGGTGGTCATTAGAGCAGTTTTGACTGTATACATTGTCCCACTATTGATGTTTAGGTGAAAAACTTTTTTCTTCTTGGGGATCTATGTTAGGATTAATTTTTCTGCATATGAGGCTTCACGAATAAGAAATACTGAAACCAAGAGAGAAGCCCACACGCTGCGCCTATCTGTAAGTGGAAGCAGAGACTTTAAATGTTTAAATGTTCAAAATTTGGTAAACATTTCTCTGCTAGAATTGGTTTGATTGGCCTCTGCAGAAACCACAAGTCATGGTAACTTTTAATACTGAAAATTCGTCTATTTCTCTGGAGAAATATTCTTCTCTACGGATGTATTGGTCATCGGCAGACATTGACGGACGAGCTGTTATTATGTAAGGCCGTTGGGGAGAAATTAGGGAAACATTTTGTATCCCCATGATAAGCAATGTTTTTTTTTTGTACTTAAGAATAAAACTGTTGTACAGTGATCTTTTGGGAGTTTGCACTTATTACTTTCTGTGAAGTTATGATTTATTTTTGATATTGCTGAAGCTGGTGTGGCACTGGTGTGGTCTATTTTTGTTGCAAGCGTTGTAAAACTCCCATGAAAGCTAAAACTCAACTTTGTTGTGCTCTCTCTCTCTCTCTCTCTCTCTCTCTCTCTCAGGTTGTCGGACCTGCGGGCGGCGGACAAGGCTAAGGTGGAGCTGGAGAAAGCCCAGAACGAGCTGGAGGCGTTCATCTTTGACTTCCAGGACAAGCTAAGCCAGGGCCCGCACGAGAAGTGCACCACGGAGGAGGAGCGGGAGAAGCTGAACAAGATGTTCAGCGAGGCCTCCGACTGGCTCTATGAGCAGCCGGACGATGCCAAGAAGTCTGTGAGTGTCTTTTTCTCAAAGGATGGAGCAGACTCCATTAAGTAGGACGGATAAGGACGGTAGATACTTGACAGGAAAGAAGGCACAAACCACGTCAGAGCACTGTCCAACCACCAACTGGTGTTATTAGACTATTGAAATATTAGAGGCAGTGGAAATGGTTTCCCATGCGTTTTTTGTACAAGACAGCCGTGTTGGGGCCCTAGCCACTGGTACTCTGGGGGCGTGCAAAATTTCCTGTAGGCCTAGCCAGCGGTACACCGGTGAGCTAGACCCTCTCCCCAGCACAGCCTGTCTGGGACAAAACGCACATGAAAAACCGTTTCCACTGCCTCCAATATTTCAATAGTATAATGACACCTGTTGATAGTTGGCTTGTGCTCTGGTGGTTCTTTCCTATCAAACGTCTGTCGTCCTTATCTCTCCTCCTTCTTTTTTGTGTTTGTTATTCTCTATAACACCTCTAATCTCTGGCATTTATATGGCCTAATTGTGTTGCAAGTGTTGTAAAACTCTTAATAAAACGTATAATGACACTATCCAAGATGAAAATCTTGTGTTAAATGACGCTTCACTTTTACACCTCAAAAATGGTTGGATAAATTCAGCTGTTATCACGAATCAATGACTTATGTGTTTGTGGTTGACAGATGCTCTTGTGAGGTTTGCTCATTCTTTCCTATCGAACATCCATCCTCCTGATCTCTCCTTTTTTTGTGTTTGTTACTTTCTGTTATGTTGTTATAGATCCAGATTCTTTCTGTAACACCTCTAAATATAATCTTTAGCACTTATATTACATAATTGTATTGCAAGTGCAGTAGAACTCTTACTTGTGGGTTGTTGGCGGGTGTTCTGGTGTGGTTTCTCCTTCTTTCCTATCAAACATCTATCGTCTGTATCTCTCCTCCTTTTTTGTGTTTGTTACTCTCTTGTAATGCCTCTAATCTTCGCCACTTATATGACCTTGTTGCGTTGCAAGTGCCGTAAAACACGTACTAAAAAGAACTCCTTACTTAAACTAAGACCGAACTGACTTCTATGTTTGCTCCGCTTCCAGGAGTACACCAACAAGCTCAAGTCGCTGCGGGAGGCCACCAAGGACGTGAGCGTGCGCGTCTACGAGATGGAGGAGCGGCCCAAGGCCCTGGAGGCGCTGCGCTCGGCCCTCAACCAGACGGGCCTGTTCATGGCCACGGTGAAGAACATCTCGGACGAGGAGGACCCCATCTTCACCCAGGTGGAGCTGGATACCCTGGAGAAGCTCATCAATGACACCACGGTGAGGAAGGGCTTGGTGGTGGTGAGGTTTGGAAGTAAAAGTACTTTTAGCTTATCGGCTCAAAATTTTGATGTCCAGGAAAAGATACTAGAAGTCTAATGGATTTTCCATAGAGCTATCTAGCAAACTTACAATAAAAGACCAACAAGCCATCACTTTTATTTGGATTTTTTGGGGGGTTTTCCTTTCTGGTTCTCGCTTTTTATTAATGGATGGTTGGCGGGTGCTCTGGTGTGGTTTGCTCCTTCTTTCCTATCAAACACCTGTTGTCCTGATCTCTCCTTCTTTTTTATGTTTGTTATCTCTAACTTTTGATACTTATATGATCTTATAGTGTTGCAAGTGCCTTAAAACTCGTACTAAAACTAAAATTGCATTTTATCGACCTGCTCTCCTTCCCTCAGAAATGGCGGGATGAAAATGTGGCCGAGCAAAAGAAGTTGGCGCTGCACCAGATGCCATCCCTGATCACAGAGGACATTGCCCAGAAGATCGCGGCCCTGGACAGAGAAATGCGCTACCTCATCAACAAAGCCAAAGTTAGTATATAGCAATAGTAAATTTAGTAGTACCTTCACCTTGCTCTTATTAATATGTGTTGTTTTTTTCTCCATGAAGTGTCTTATCTATTTTATGTTGTTATTATTGATCCAGATATATTTTATCGTTAGAATAGGTTTGTACGTATTTGTGTGCTTATGGGAAAGGAACGAGAGAGTCTGAGATGGCTTACTCACATCAGTTTTGTTTTTTAATATTTTGTTCTCTTTTTTTTCTTTTTTGGGGGGTAATTTTTTGCTGTAAAGTATTTTGAGCTCACACGGAGTGGACATGTTGTATATGAATCAATGCTATTATTTCAGAATTTCAAGCCTAAAGCTAAACCAAAAGAAGAGAAGAAGAAGGCGAGCAATGAGACAAAGACGGAGAACACAACCACAACGGAGAGTCCGGAGCCCTCACAAGGTTTGTTTGAGCAGATGGGGCTGGTCAAATGGATTGACTAGGTGTTTTACGGCACTGAGGAAAATATGGCTCTTTCAAATCTAATGTAGGAAATTTTTTGTCGCAACACCTTTGTTGATGTTTATTTAGGACATAGTTCTGAGGGTAGGTCTTCAGAACGTGGTACAGATGATACTGCAAGACGTTGCATTGATGGTCTCCACACTGTGGTGTCAGATGTCCATTTACTGTTAGATGAGCTGATAGTTCGCTATCGTAGAATTACGAAGTTCTATCTTCTCAGTACCCAGTTTTGATAAATTTGACGTCTAAAATTTTGAGTGTCACAACATATCATGCTTTTTTGGAGGGAAGTTCTTTGAATATCTTGAATATCTGCGAATAACCTTAAGATTTTGATAGAGCACATAGTTGGTTTCTGACCTCATGGTCGCAGTAACTCAAAACAGCTAAAAATGTTGATGATACTTTGTAATTCTAAGGCAGGGAGTTGGGAAAAGTAGCTTTCCAGAGGATCAAAAGTTCTATCTGATCAAACTCCTAACCTTTTAATTGCAAGTCCCAACACCCTCACTGCTTGTCTAGGAACAACATGCCCCATGGTTCTCTTTTTAGCAGATGATTACTGTTAGATCTAATGGGGTTTTGCACAATGTAGTTCTTAAATATTTCTTTGCTTCAAAATGAGATTATTTGTGTCACGACGCGGTGGAATCAGGTCGTCAATTTTTGGGCATATGGAGTTATTGGTATCGCCTTACAGCTTGTTTAATTGTCTTGCATTTGGTGAAAAAAAATACTCATCTATCATGAATAGAAGTCGAGATATTTGCGATTGAAGGAGGTGGGGGTCGCTTGGTTTAAGAAGTAAATTAACCGAGAAAATGGCCTCCAAAGTTTGGCAACTTCCAAAGCTTGAGAGTCCTTAGAAACTGCAAATTCAGATTTTTTTGGCTTTAAAAATACCATTTTTTTGGTGAAATCCCCGCTGAAATGTGTTTTTAAATGGACCTTAACATTTTGCCATCACAAGGCTCATACAGATCTAGTAAAAACCATTGCCATCAAAGGCAAATGTATTTTTGGCAAAATCCAAAGAAACTGAGTGGGAAACATCGCCAATCGGCGAGATGTGACGGAAAAGTGTTAAAAGTGTTGAGTCAAAAAACAAAAATTTAATTAAAATTGCCAAATGGACAGAAAAATGCCAATTTTTCCGATTTCATTATTTTGACGAGCGCCTGATTTCACCAAGATGCCTCCCTTTTAATTTTAGTGTGCAGAGCGTGAAAATGAAGACATTTGCGCATTTGCATGAGCAAATGGTCGTGGGAAGTTTCCAAAAGCTTTGCCCACTGGAAAGTCACGACTGGCCCTTCAGAAAAATCTCATGCTCTGGGCCCCATGCCTTTATGATGAGCCTTTTGTGGAAAAATATTGTTGAGATGATCATCTTTGTTACCTTCATTGTTGACTTCTCGAAGATAAAAAAAAATGAAAAAAATTGGAGACTAGAATTTTGAAATTTATAATACTGAAAAAGTTTGTTTTGCCGCTGAGTGCTTTGTCAGGAACAAAAAAAATTATTATTTATTAATTATTTATTCATTTAATGTATTGATACTATAAATATTTATTTTTTTATTATTTATTTATTAATATTAATATATTAATATTATATCTTAAAAAAATAAATAAAATTAATGTATTAATCTTTGTTAACTTCATTACCATTGTCCATCAACATCATCCCTTTTCTTTCATTTTATCTGCAACGCTTATTTGTTGGGCTTTCACCAAAAGAGGCTCCCCCGACTGAAGAGCCGGAGGCGAAACCGGACGATGCAGCCGGCAGCGACACCCCAGCGGCAGACTCTCAGGAGAAGGCAGAGGCGCCCACCACCCCTGAAACGCCGACGTCTGACGACAGCGGAGAGCGTACCAGCTCGGGTAAGAGGCGGCCCAAATCCAAGCGCAAGAGCTCACAGGCAGAGAGTCAAGAGGAGGTGTTGGAGCTAGGTGATTCCTTCCCTCCTCTTTTTGTAGATCAGAGATGGGTGGGTGGGTGCTGGTCAGGATTTTTAACGCCTTTCATGCCGTTTTTAACGAGAAAGTCTTGGTCTTTATTCGTAAACAAATTTAGCCATCAGCCAAATGGAGGAAACCTAAGAAAATCGCCATCTGTTGTGTATTGGTTAGGTGATTTGCCATTACGTGCAGAAAACCTGAGTTCGATTCCCTTTCAGGGAGAATTTTTATAGAGTATCTCGGCCTTTCTGTTAGGACATTGTATCCCTCTCAGCCAGGATTGGCCTTGACAGGCATGGTTGAAGCCTGCCCCTAGAAGGATCTAAGTTGTGTTGATTGAGGTGTAAAACGCGAACCCTCCCCCCCCCAAACTATTGAAAAATACCACTATAGCCTTAATAATTTCGCAGGATAATAGTTGTAAACGTTTTTCTGCTGTCCTGTGAAGTTTCATGGCTTTGCCTTGGAAAGTAAGTGACAGATGGTTATACCACAAAAATACAGTTGGGCTATTTCTTCCAGTTACATTGTAAAGACTTCTCTGCTGACATCCACCCCTTGGCGCTCATATGACCATTATGCAGTTGCGAGCGCCATAAAACCTCTGCTAAAACTTAAAACATTCCAGTTCCATGGTTTGAACCCAACGCCATCGATGTATGTCTGATCTTTGGAGAGGTCTAAAACCCCAAAGAAAAGTTGCTCATTCCTGTTTCTTTGCCTTGAATGTGTGAACCTGAAGCCTAGCCACCCTTTTGAGTTGGATGGCTTTTAAAAAATTGGAGCCATCGTCTTAGAGTGAGATATACTAATTAAACTCTCTTAAAATATGAGAGATTTTCCAAAAAGAATGTGATCCAAAAGTAAAAAAACCAAACATAATAAATACGGGCGCAAACAGTTGGATGGAATCTTGTGCTGTCTGAAAGCACTTACACATAGAAATTGTTGGGGTGAGATGAGATTTCTTAATGGCCTTAATAAGCCATGAAGCAAATGCATAAGCTACGAAGTGGACCTTAAGTTGGGTTGTGTGGGAAATCAAAATTTTTCATAGGTCACTTTTGACTTGTCTCAGTCTTATTGGAGAGATAGATGGTTTAATTAGAGGTCCTGTCTGGTGGTATGAAAAGGAATGCTATAAACCCACATAATCTTGAATTGTACATAGTGTGTGGGTACCTGGTTGTGCTGAGCATTCCTTGTGTAGCGAGTGTTTTCTGTGACTGATTCATAACCATGAGGCATTCCTTTGTGGCAGCTTACAGACATCACCCCAGAAACCTAGACCGCGACTTGTGATCCCCACCCCTCACCTGTTTCTCTCCATTCTTCTCTGTCTGTGTATGTATATACATTTTATTTTACCCCATCCTTTTTTCTATGGCTACTTTCTTCCTTTCTCATCCCCTGGTAGTTCTGTTCTGCAACGTTTTTGTCATGCATTTTTGTGGTTTTTGTTGTGTTCCTTTGTATAACCTGTGTGGTTGGCCTTGTGAGGAATGTGTTCAGACGCAGGTACCAGGGATGGGAACTGTGGGAAACAAATTGATGGCTGGGTGCTAGACTCTGACGACAAACATCTTTATTTATTTATAATGCAATAATTTAGTGGCTAAGATCCTGCATGTCTGGTCTTAATTTACAAACTGAAATAAAAATTAATTGGCTGTGTCACTACACAATAGTGTATTACCATATGACTGGGGAACTCATCACAGATGGAAAGCTATAAATGTTGAACAGGTTGTTGTTGTTGTTGTTATCGATCCAGCAACATCTGGGCTCTCGCCCTTCTGTCCAATGCCATGTAGTGATAAGTGCAGGTTTGTTGCAGTTGCTGTAATGTTCCATAGAGTGTGTTGTCAAAGTTAGGTCTCGGAGGGAGAAGTGTAGCTCTGATGTCATTTAGGACTGTACAGTGGAAAAGATGATGTTCCACTTTCTCATATGCATAGTCACTCAAAGGACTCATTGGGGGAAGTGTTGAACAGGTTAAAGGGAGGAGAAATGGGATGGATGTAGATCATGAGCCTCTCGGTTGGACAAGTGAAAGTTGCATGCCTGGTGCCGTTAGTTGTGGGTGGTCATAAAGGTTAACCAGTCTTTGCTGGAGTTCCCATCCCTGAGAAGTTTGTGTTAGTGTGTGTGTGTCTCTGTCTGACGTTCACCGGTGGCTGTAGTCAAAGTCTGGTTGTTCTTGGTGAATGACTTGTGATAACTTGTAACGACTTGCTTTCTCCTGGCTGTAATGTGCATGCGGATGTATTTGGGCTGTAAGATGTACTATGTGTATAAATTAATAGCTTTGTTTCACCCAGTTTCTGTTTTTAGTGTAATGTGCAAAGCCTTTTCTATCGTCTGTGGTAGTGACTGGATTAACAAGCATCTTGTTCATTAGCCCTTTTCAGTTTGAGCCCTGACCTCCTGAGGCTACCATGCCCCTCTACCTGAGCTCCAGAATGATATATTACTAACATGCTGATGATCCTCTGAATCACACTCCGTATCCCACAGGGGATAGTCCTTGTCGTTACCACCATCTATTTCAGAAAGATGTTCAAAAGGATCAGTAAACCAATGACATGCTGTGTAGTGAACGCGATTTTCTCTCTGCGTTTTATCCCAGACAGGCCGGGCAGGGGATAGGGTCTCACTCATTGGTGTACTGATGGCTTGGCATACAGGCAATTTTACAGGCCACCAGTGTTCCAGTAGCTAGGTCGCAAAGGGTTAACTGTAATGAGTTGGTCTGTTAATTTGGGACGTATGCAGTATTGCAGTAATACTGTTGGTTCTGTGTAAAACAGTATAGTAAAATTTTTTTTAAAAAAGATACTTTTGTTTTTGGTGGAAAGAGAATACGTCTGTGAGAGTGGGAAGGGAGCAGAACTCCCGGTATCAATTTGAGTTATGGAATACAGTCCAGCATGCACATAGCAAATATACGTATATAGCGAATTGATTTTCAAGTCTTAATTTTTTCTTTCCATATGTATTTCTTTGTTATTTAAACGCATACATATCATAGAGAAATTGGTATATATAAAGAAAAGAGTTCTAAGTCCCGCTGATTTGGCTGTGTGCTTGCTAAACTGTGCTTTCTTTTCCTTCTGAGGGACATTCCTATGGAAGTGGGTAGTTTGTTGACACCTGGTTTTTCTTCAGTTCTTCCGTTACCTTGTTTTGTTTTTGGTTATTTTCTGCCTCGACTCTCGGTAAATTGTAAACCGCACCAGGTCAGCCTCGCTGCTTTTGTGTCTCTGGTCTCATTTATATGTTTTCTATGCCAGCGCATTCACAACGTGGGTTTAGACAAGAACTTTGAGTTTGTGTGATAGGGATAGTTGGCAGGTGTTCTAGTGTATTTTGCTCCTTCTTTCCCATCAAACATCTATTGTCCTGATCTCTCCTTCTTTTTTTGTGTTTGTTACTCTCTTGTAACACCTCTAATCTTCCTCACTTATATGATCTTATTGTGTTGCAAGTGCCGTAAAACACTTACTAAAACAATAAAACAAACCTTGTATGATACTGCATGTTACAAAATGAATATATGCATCTTACTTAACCTTTATAAGTCCCAATGTTGTTTTTTTTCATTCAAGGCATGCTCTGCAAACCGATAATAGAAATTCATTGACATCTGTAGTGTATTGGTTAGGTGCTTTGGTTGTGCACACGGAAGAAAGGAAGACTTGAGTAAGGTACTTGTGTTGGGAGAATTTTTATTGAGCATCTCGGTCTTTCTGCCTCGTTGTATTGAATGGGTTGGCTCTGACAGGCAGGCACGAAACTTGCCAACTGATCGATCTAGGGTCTAATTTATATCAATGGGGACATAAAATGCAATAACACTTACATTAAATGAAAAGCTGAGGGTGAACGTTGATGTGGTCTGCTCCTCTTTCCATTCAGTCCTCATTTGAACAAATGTTTCTGTTATGTGGGTAGCTGTGGTGTGTTTGGTTGATTTGCTTGACCAACAGGCAGAAAGGTGGGTGGTTAGCAGGTGCTCTGGTGTGGTTTGCTTCTTCTTTCCTCCTATCAAACATCTATCGTCCTGATCTCTCCTCCTTCTTTTATGTGTTTGTTACTCTCTTGTAACGCCCCTAATCTTCGGATCTTATAAGACCTTATTGTGTTGCAAGTGCCTTAAAACTCCTACTAAAACTAAACAGGCAGAAAGGTGGGTGTTGGCTTTGAATGGGTTTCATGTTTAGCTCATCCTTCCTGGAATGCTTGTCCCCTTGGCTGGATGTCTCGATGGGTTCCCAAATGGCACTCCCTTGAAATAGACCAAAATTGTGTCGAGCAGGGCCTTAAACCTGTGGTTGGTTGGCAGGTGCTTTGTTGCCGTTTGTTCCTCTTCTATCATACATCTATTGTCCTTATCTCTCTTTCTTTTCTGTGTTTGTTACTCTCGTGTAATATCTCTTAATCTTTGGCGCTTATGCTTATATAAGCATTTTGTTTTGCACATGTCGTACACCTCTGACTAAAACTAAAACAAGTACTGTAAAACACTTATTAATTAAACTAAAGCAAGCACTGTAAAAAAAAAAATGGACCTAAATTGTGTTGAGCAGGGTGGTAAACATGCTTTTTTATCTTTTTTGTAAATTTGTTTTGTTTTGTTTGCCCTCTACAGACGCTGCAGCGGGGGACGCGGAGACCTCGACAGAGAAAGAGGCGAAGACAGATAAAGACACAGATCACGTGGAGTTATAACACTGGCCCCCCACTCTAGATGGTGTGTTCTGTCAGTTCTGTACATTTGCTCGTGAGACCTCATTGATGGGAAAAAAAAATATTGCTGAGATGATCATCTTTGTCATCATCATCACATAATTGTCGTCCATCATCACCGTCATCATTTCCATTCATCTCTTCCTCGCCTCAGACCGGGTCATCTTGTCGGTGATGTCTGGAGCAAAATGGTTAAGTTTGAAAGAGCCCTTTTTTTCTCTACAGGTGGGAGGGACAGAAAATACTCTGCTTAGTTCTAGCTTCGTCTTTTTGGTTTCGTGAATTGTTGGTGGGTGCTCTGAAGTGGCTTGCTCCTCCTTCTTTCTTATCAAACACATGTCGTCGGTATCTCTTCTTCTTTTCCTTGTATGTTACTTTCTGGTAACACATCTAATTTCTGATACTCGCACGTTTTTTTGTATTGCAAGTGCTGTAAAAGTCTTACGAAATTTAAATCTAACACCACTGATTCTTAAATACATTTTTTAAATCTTCAAGTTCTTACTGTACAATGGATTAGATTGAAGAAATTGAATAGAATCCAAGAGCTGTTTTAGCGTGTTAAGTTTTGCCCTGAGAAGGTAAAAGTGCGTCTTCTCATGCTGGAGAGGGCATCTGTGGTGTAGTGGTTAGCTGCTTTGCTGTTAGATTGAGAGGACCTGATTCGATTTTTGTGCCGCGAGAATTTTTGTCGAGTATTAAGGTTGTTTTGCTGGGGTGATATATCCCTCTCTCAGAACAGGTTTAACCCTAGCAAGCAAGGTCAAAGCTTGCTTCCTGAATGATCTAAATTGTGTCGATAGGAGCGTTATAATACCTACAGTTTAAACATTAAAATAGGCGGGGAGCTCATTGTTGAAAAATTTAAGTTTTTATGTCAGTGAGAACTTTTTCTTTTAGTTGTCTTGGACTTTGCTACCGTGATCCTGACATGTTCATAATGAGTTTTCTACCTTCAGCAAGACGTTCTGAAACTTGAGTTATTTTGGGATTCTCTGTATTGCCTATTCACGCTCTTGACTCAGCTCTTTTATCGGAAATGTCATGCCTCTTGAAGAAACTTTTAAGTATCTACAGGGGCATTTGACGCGTACCATGTTATTTATTATACAATCCCTCCCTCACTCTGCCTGTCTCGCTTCTTCTGTTTCTGTCACTCTCTCCATCTCTTCCGATAATTCGAACCAACTTGCTCACAAGTAAACAATCTCATCAAGCTGTTTAGTTTTAGTGTCAGATTGTTTACCGAAAGTCTTTTTTTTATTTGTCTGTGTATATGTGTTAATTTTTCACCCGACAACTTGGAAGTTACCAGCAACCTCCACAAAAGTGACAAGTTGTGGTGAATGTGTGCACATCACAGCAAATGGGTTGAATAAATATTTATCGATTGTCATGAGTGAAGTAGGGTTATTTTACCGAAGCATCTGGCCTTAAAGGGGTTGGTCAGGTGGGGTTTAGGTTCCTCTTATTAAAGGGGGTCTTTTGCCATATCATTGTCTGACAAGAAGTCAATAAAGGGGATGATAGTATTAAGATTGTTGTCAATGAAATGGATATTTTGCGATATTATCTGCTTACCATGTAGGGGTTGATTGTTGTATCATCTGACATTGAAGGGGATGATAGTGTTGAGATTATTGTCAATGAAAAAGGTATTTTACCTAATCTTTTGTCTACGAAGGGGATGATGGTGAATAGGTTTTTATATCAATGAAATGGGCGTTTTGCCCTGTCCTGCGATCATGTGTTGTTTGCTTTACGAGTATCTTTAGCCCTATCCGTGCGTCGTGTTTTACTATCGTATCCATACGACCGTGGGAACTCTGTGCCACCACTTTCCAAAGAGGAAATTTACTTTTTAATCCGATCCGTACGCTTTGCACAACCGTCTGTCAAAATGATTTTTTGAGAAATACTGAAATTTTCAAAGAGATCTTCGTACTAGAAGTATTCTAAAACGTGAAGAATACAACCGCGGGGGTACACAATGACCCCAGAGCGTATGGATAGGGTTAAGGTGAGCTGTTTGTCGTATTGTTCAACTGTGGGGAGGTGTCGTTGTGTGCAGTGTTTGGCTGTACTGTCGCGTCATCTGACCGTGGCGGTGTATTTGACAGGGTTCAGCGTGTGTAAGACTTTGCTAGAACGAAAAAAACAAGGATGTTTGTTGGTGTGGCGATGTCACTTCGAGGCAGGAATATGGGGCAAAGCCCGGATGTTGAATTGTTTTGGTTTTGTATGTGTATTTTTGCTGATGTGTTCTTGTAATCCCAGATGTGTATATGCACAATGTGAGGAGAACTATGATGAGTATTCAAGCATTTATTTAAGTCGTGCGCATCTGAAGGGTACAGATCTCATACTTCTTTGCTGTCCCTCTCTTGTTTATGTCTGTTTGTTTTGCTTTTTCTCAACGACCATTATTGTGTCAGCCTGCATTTGTTGCGCAAATAACAAATTGAGTATAAAAAAACAACAACACTTGATAGGCCTTTGATCAAAAGACATTTTTTCCCCCCAAAAGCCTTTTGTTCTTACCAAAATGTTGAAGAGAAAATGGTGGTTTGAATTGTTCTGCTGTGTATGATTTTAACTGGTGGTGAAAAACTGTTCTTAAGCAATTTTTGCCTTAACGTCTGTTGACCCCTCCAAGTTCTGCGAGGCTGTGTGTGTTGACTATTCGCAACCTCAGAATTACAAAGTTCTATCTGACCTATTTGGCCATTTTGAGTTACCTCGCCCATGGGGTCAGAGCCCAAATGTTGTATCTGCTCTATCAAAATCATGAGATTCTTCAGAGTCATCAAAATATTCAAAGAATATTAGAAAAAGCTTGACATAATGGGAAACTCAAAATCTTTGATGTCAAATTTCTCAAAGTGGGTGGTTTGCGGGTGCTCCGGTGCAGTTTGCTCCGTCTTACCTATTAAACTACTATCGTCTTTATATCTCCTCCTTCTTTTTTATGTTTGTTACTCTCTTGTAACACCTCTAATCTTCGGGCACTTATATGGCCTTATTGTGTTGCAAGTGACCTAAAACGTTTACTAAAACTAAACTAAATTTCTCAAAAACTAGGTGCTGAGCAGATAGAACTTTGTAATTCTGAGGTAGCACTATGGTTCTATGGTGAACCTTCATACCTGAACCTACCACTGACTGAGATAGAAGCGTTAAAAGTTTTTGGAATGATCAAGATACCTACATGTTACTGATCCGTTTGTATTGATTGATGTAAATTCTCAGACTTGACCCTGTTGCATTCCTCGAAGACAAGTATTTGAGAGAGTTCTGGATAATGTGTTGAGTCGAGTTGCATTGGGGAAAAGCTGGAGGCCTGAATGTAGTGTCTGATGTTGTTGTTGCTAGAGATGCCTGCGGTAGTAAATGATTGATAGCGGGTCGTTGGCGAGTGCTCTGGTGTGGTTTGCCTCTTCTTTCCTATCAAACATCTGTCGGCCTTCTTTTCTTTGTATGTTACTCTTCAGTAATATCTCTTATCTTCGGCATTTATATGACCTAAGTGTGTTGCAAGTGCCGTAAAACTCTTACTAAAGCTAAAAAAAACGTCTCGCTCATATGACCTTATGCAGTTGCGAGCGCCGTAAAACCCTCTACTATAACTAACTAAAGCTAAAAAGCAGACACCTACGGTAAATGATTAATGGATTGGGTACTTTATCAGGCATGGGCTGTCAGGGTACGTTCTTGTTGCACAGATTTAGGATGTCGCCTCGATCTAGCAAGATTTGTTTTGTAGGCATAGAGACGTGTAGATGGGAGGAAAGAAAGAAATATCGACATTTCCCAGGTCCTAAGGGACAAATACTGTGTAAAGCCGGGTTTGATTCTTGTGTGGAGTTTTGTTGACACTCGTCCTCGCTAATTTCACTTTTCACTAAGTGTACTTTCACTGGGCTGTGAGATTTTCCCCATTTTTTAAATGCCTTCACTTTCCGGGAATTTTGTGTAATTCATGTAATAAGAGATATCATGATATGGATTGGATAATACATATACGGTGTATACCGCAGACTGTCGCCACAGTGCGCCACCTTGTTTCACAAGCTAGGATTAACATATCTTGCTCAAGAGCACATCCCAGTCACCCCTCATTTCCATACCCCTTCGTCGTCATCGACATTGTTTGACTGATGTCATTTGTGAGTCGGAGGTCACTGACTTGTTGGCCACTGGAGCCCTGTGTTGTAGAAACAGTTAATTCTTCTGTGAGTTTGTCATCACGGGAAGAGTTGATGTTTTGCTGTGGCACGCAGGAGACCCTGAGTTTGAGTCATGTGTTGGGGAGAATGTTTATTGAGTATCTCGGTCTTTCTGCTGGGGTGTTGTATCCCTGTGGTCAACCTGCGCTGAATTGGCCCATTAACAATCTAATTTGTGTCAGTGAGGGTGTAAAAACACCTAAATTTAAAGCAAAAAATTCAACAGTTGATGTAAAAATCCTCTGGTCTGACATGATCCAGGGACAATGATTGTTGCAATGCTGTATCCTTTCTGTTTTACGTCTTATTCTTGAAGGAAAAGGATTTGGTGAGGCAACCTTATGAAATTATTGAAATTGATTGAAACACTTTGGTTTGATAACATATACCTGTAGTACTAGTGAAGTGTGGGACTTGCTCACTCCCTCCCCTGGTGTGGAATGTGCAACTGTTGTATGGGTAACAAAACGCCTTTTTCATTTTGGCGTCAAAATGTTTGATTTGATAAATCGAAAGTATGATCAGTTACCCTATTTGTGTGAAAAAATCAAAGTGAAACTGTGACTAGTTTTTGAATAAATTAGAATTCAAATTTTGGAACGACTCTATTTTTCAATGGTTACGCTGACAAAAAACCCTCTTTTTCTCAAAACTGCTGTGAAGGGGAAAAAAAGGCATTTTGTCAGCTTATGGCAGAACTGTTGTATAGGCAAGAAGTTTGCAGAATGTTTTCTATCAGATGGAATCAATGATGTACCACCCTCACTTTCTCATGATCCGTGCCCTGGAGTGAGTGATGTGTAGTTGCTTTGGGAGTAGACCTTTGTGATGGCAAACTTTTCCTTTGTTTAGTTTCTGTGATTTTTCTCTACTTGGACTAACGTTTTCATTTTTATTTATGGTTGTTTTTTTGTTTCCTCTCCATTCTAGAATTTAGCTGAATGTTGTTACCTTTTGCGACCTCATGCCCCCCCTCCCCCCCAGGGAAGATTGAGAATGTTTTCAGGTTCTGTGTCATAAGATGGAAAATTTATTTCCTTTTACTTCACCATTTTTTTTCTTCTCGCATGTGATGCAGTTTACTGAGACAAGTTTTGTTTTTTGTTTTGTTTTGGGTTTATTCGGCATTATTAATTTCTTCTTGTTGTTTGTTGCAAAAGGAAGTGAAAGAAAGATACTGTGTCTGCAGATGGACACAGCTTCTGTAGAATATTGACCTGCTGTTTTTGTACAATATACGATGTTGAAAGTTTCTCTAATTATTGTTGTTACTGTTGCTGTTGTTGGCCATGGAACCTGATGTTGGAATAAAAGAAGTGTGGCCATTGTCTCAGTCCATTTTACAGTGGTGTACGTAAGAGATGAGAGTGCAAGTCAGGGTGTTGGCTATCTTCTGTTCCTGCCTGACTTGACTTGTTAGTCTGCTGTTTTTTGTTGTTGTTTTGTTTTGTTTTGTTTGTACTCTTTTGTTTTGGTTGAGAATATTATGTCGATATGTTTATTTATTTGCTGAAGATTGGTGAGAGAATTTTCTGATGGTCTTTTGTACATGGTGTATGTGCTTGTTGAGTGCAAGTTGGGTTCCATTAATTTGTTCTCAGTGTTTTTGAAACTTGTCATTTTTGCTTTATGCTGGTGTAATGACGAAACGATTACTGCATTCGATGAAAAGTTTTAAAAAAAGAAACTGTTTTGTCTGTTTGGTATTGTTGTATGATTATGTTTCTGCTGGGGGTGGTTGGCGGGTGCTCTCGTGTAGTTTGCTTTTACTTCTATCGTCATTATTTCTCCTCTTTCTTTTTTGTGTTTGTTACTCTCATATAACACCTCTTATCTTCGGCACTTATAATTATGACTTAGTTGTGTTGCAAGTGCCATAAAACTTTACTAAAACTAAAACGTGGAGAACGAGAGTGGGTGGTTGGAGGGCGCCACGGGTAGGTCCTACTTCTTTATTTCCTTCTGTTGTTTCTGTCTGTCTTACTTCCCCCCCCAGCACTAAATGACCATTATTGTGTCAATGTGCTTCTCCTTACTCAAACAAGCACACAAAAGAGGAGGAGGAGTTTGGATGAAAAGAAGAAGAGGGAATTGGTGGATGTAGAGAAAATGAGAAGGAGATGGAGGGAGAGCTGAGTGGAAACTAAATGAAGAGGAGATGGAGGAGGGGAAT